CCACCGCGCCGGCCACCAGCTCCACTGCCGCCACCACTGCCACCACCACCCCCGCCACCCCCACTACCGCCGCCGGCACCACCCCCGCCTCCGCCACTGACCCCCCCACCACCAGTACCACTCCCACCACCGCCACCACCCCCGCCTCCTCCACCCCCTCCACTACCGCCGCCCCCGCCTCCACCTCCGCCACCCTTGCCCCCCTTGCCCTTGCCGCCCTTGCGCCTCCAACTAGGAGCAGGCGCAGCCCCGACCTCCTCAGCACCGAGGTAGTCGACAGCAGCAGCAGATGCAATGGAGGGGAGAAGGGGGGAGGGGGAACATCCCTCAAAGAGGGGAGTGCAAGGGTCACCACGAGAGGCACCTACAGCTACAATGCTAGTCTCAGCTGCAAGGAGCTCCTTCTCGAGCAGGTCGACAGTGAGGTCAGTGGGGGAGAGGGCGAGAAAGTGGTCCCTGACAGCGCGAAGAGAGTCAGGGAGGCGAGTGACTAGGTGGTAGAGTGTGAGGTACATCGGGGGAGGGTTCTTGGCGAGGAAATCAGGAGGAAGCGCGGCACGGTAGCGGAGATCACTAGTACGGAGATGAGTGATGAGGTCAGCTACAGTGGCAAAGGCGGACAGATCGGGGAAGAGATAGGGCAGCGAGAGACGGCCTATCGCAGCAGTAGCAGGGGAGGAGTAGCGCGCAACTACAGCATCGTACAGCTCCTTAACGGTCTTATGCTGGCCAAAGTGCTCGCGCTCATCTAACGGCAGGTGGCTGCGAACGGCTAGGCGAGTGTGAGCGTCACGGGTCTGCCACTGTGAGCGAGCTGTACTGTCAGCAGTAGCAGCAGGTGCGGGAGCTACGCCGGACGTGTGGTCAAACAGGGAAACATCGTCCTTGGCAGTGATCTGGAGGAACAGGTGCAGGTCATCGAGCCAAACGTCAAACTTAATCGGACGGCCCTCAGCGTCAAAAGTGAGAACGGTAGGACTGGCCATAGTGGCAGTAGCAGCAGTAGGAACAGTAGCAGCAGTAGCAGGAGTAGCAGTAGCAGTAGCAGGAGCAGCAGTTGCTGCAGGTGGTGCACAGTAGGGCAGCGCGGCTCGGTCAGGGCGGCGCGACTCGGGCAGGACGGCGCAGCTCGAGCAGGACGGCGCGGCGCGGCTCGGGCAGGGAGGGTGGGCCGGCGCGCGGTTCGAGGCGGCGGCCTACGTGCGGGCGGCGGTCTACGTATGGGCGGCGGCCTACGAGGGCGAGGCAGCGGCGCGCTCCGGTCGACGGGCAGCACGCGGGCTGCGCTAGGGGCCGCGCGAGGCCAGGGCGGGCTACGCGTGGGCGGCGTCGACCGCGTGGGCGGCTAGGGGGTCGCGCGCACGAGAAACAGGCTGCGCGCGGGCGGCTAGTGGGCTACGCGGGCGAAAAACGGGCCGCGCGCGGGCGGCTAGCGGGCTACGCGCACGAAAAACGGGGCGCGCGAGGGCGCACTAGGAGTGAGGCGCACGAGGGCGCGAGGACGGTAGGGCGCACGAGGGCGCTACTAGCGGAATGGTGGGCCCTTAGGAACGATCGGTCCTAGGTTCCTAACCTAGGCTCGTAATACCATGTCAGAATGAGAGAAGTGTTTGAACTAACAACATTGGGAGTACAAGTAGGAAAACCTAGAAGTTGTACCCCCTAAGGCTAAACCCACTATAGCCTACAGAACAGAAACATATACAATGTTTGACATTCTTACTAGACAGATTGGAGTTTTTTGGCCATGTAATTTCGGCCAACGTCGTGGAAGTAGATCCGAAATTGATCGCGACAATTCAGGCCTGGCATGCGCCAACAAAACTTACCGAGCTGCAGAGTTTTTTGGGGTTCGTCAACTACGTGCGCCAGTTCGTCCCCGACATGGCGAAGCTGACTGCCCCGCTGACCGACTTGCCGAGGAAGGGGGTTGAGTACACGTGGGGGGGGCAAGCTGCTTTCTCGGCCCAGAAGACTATTTTGTGCTAACCGCCCGTGCTTCACATTGCTGATCATCACCGTGTCAGAATCCAGAAACAAGAAGTGATTGCATTAGCAGGAAGTTGGGTACAAGTAGTGAAACCCTAAAGTGTTGTACCCCATATTGACTACCCCACTACAGCCTTAACAAGCTATAGCATATAAGTTTGACACACCCCCATAGGCAAAGTGGGGGAGAACAAGAGGTCACAAGACCAGTCAAGAAAAGCAAAGCAAGCTCAGGGTGGATCTCAAGGATACCACACAAATTCCGAGCACAAGCAAGCGGCCACAAGGCCAGTTCACATGCAGTTTGATAATACAACAAGCAGTACAGTGATCAGAACCTAGCAAGTGTAAACATGCAGGTATACATATATAAGGATCACAGTACAAACAAAGTCAAGAAGTAAGCAAGTGAGGCACAGTAGGCACAAGGCCTAGAACAGTACAGAAACGCTGATGATCACAAGGCTGAAGTGCCTTGGTGAAGACATCAGCAGTGTTGGCCCGAGTGGCCACGTACGCAAGACGAAGCTGACCACGCTGCTGCAACTCTAGAGCAAGGAAGTAGCGCAGAGCAATGTGCGTCGTTCTGTGCTCCAGTCTGTGCTCCTGACACAAGGCAATCATGGCCTTGTTGTCGACGTACAGCACTGGAGGAGAACGAGGCCGCTCTCCCAAGTCGGTCAGCAGGTAGGTGAGCCACCGTAACTCCTGTGCAGCCATGGCTGTGGCGTAGATCTCAGCCTCACAACTGGAGCTGAGAACAGAAGAAGAGCGGGTAGACCACCAAGAAACAGAGCCGGAGCCAAGACTGAAGGTGTAACCCTGTGACGACCGCTGCGTAGCCAAGTCGTCAGCCCAGGAAGCGTCTGCGTGACCAGTGAGGACAACTCGAGCCCGTCCTCCAAGCACGAGCCCCATGCCCGACGTACTGCACAAGTGGCGCAACACCCTCTTAGCAGCATCCATGTGTTCCTTCCTGTGTCTGCCAGGAGCGACATAGCGTGCTAGAATGCTAAGAGGGTAGGCAAGGTCAGGTCGAGTGCAGGTCATCAGGTACATGAGGCAGCCCACAAGCTCTGGATACGGGCCACTCGGCTCTACGGACTCGTCCGAAGGTGGAGCTGAGAGCGATTGACCGGTAGGCAGAGGAGTGGACTGTGGCGAGGAGTACGTGAAGCCGAAGCGCTGAAGGACCTGCTGCACCATGTGTGACTGAGTCAAGGTAATGGTGCGCTGTGCTCTGCCCCGGGTGATCCGCAAGCCAAGATAGCTTGTCAGCTCACCCAGGTCTGTGCACGTGTGTCTCTTCTGCAGCTCCGACTTCACGTGGGCGAGTCCCTCAGTGTCAGAAGTAGCAAAGACCAAGTCGTCTACGTACACGAGAACGTAGAACGGCGGCAGAGTGGTGTCGGTGCGTAGAAACAGCGACGGGTCAGCAGTAGAAGGAGCAAACCCAAGAGCAGCAAGAGTCGTCCTCAGTGTGTCGTGCCACTCACGGGGTGCCTGGCGGAGACCGTAGACCGGCCGCCGGAGGCTCCACTGGGTACCAGCAGGAAACGACCCAGTGAAGCCAGGTGGGCGGCGCAGCCAGATCTCCTCGTGCAGGCTGCCCTGTAGGAAAGCAGTGCTGAAGTCAAGAGAGTGAAGCTCGTAGTCACGCTGAGCGGCAACGTGCAGCAGAACCCGAAGAGTGGTCATCTTCGGGGTAGGGGAGAAGGTCTGGAAGAAGTCAACTCCCTGTCGCTGACTGAAGCCTCGTGCAACGTAACGCGCCTTGAAGACAGGCGGAGAACCCGGCGGCCGCTTCACCCTGAAAATCTACATGCCACTGACGATGTTCGCCCCAGGTGGGGGAACCTTGTCAACGTAGGTGCCTGTGACCAAGAGTATACCGGTACGTCTGTTCAGAAATTCCATACATTTCCTCAGCGACAATGAGGAAATGGAAGGGTCTGGCTGGTGACCAAGTAGTTTCCAGAACGGCGAGTATATAAAAAGTTGCCATTTGTCCCTGAACCAAGTACCGGTACCACACCAGGAAAAATATGATAACATAATCACGCAAATTCAGTAAAGCATGTAGTGCTATTGCATGGGGCAAATGGAAATGTATTTGGTGCTATCATGGATTCGGTGGTGAGAACGAAGGGCTTATGGTAGGGTCCGTGCTTGAAATCAACTTCAATAAACAGTGCTCGATACCCGACCTGCGCACAGGAGGACAGGGGAGAGAACAGACAAAACAGGCGAAACAAGGTTACCAGTATGAACATGGTGAAAATATGGTTGAACACAAAGAAGAAACATCCAATTGGTTAACAACAATGGAAAGAGTGGCTTGGACTCGTGAGGCATTTGAAATGGTAAACAACGAAGTATAGCATCAAGTGTTGGTAACTTTGGGGAAACAGCTGGAAAGGCCACTACAGCTAGAAAAGCCACTACAGCTGGAAAAGCCACTACAGCTGGGAAAGCCACTACAGCTGGGAAAGGCACTACAGCTGGGAAAGCCACTACGGCTGGGAAAGCCACTACGGCTGGGAAAGCCACTACGGCTGGGAAAGCCACTACGGCTGGGAAAGCCACTACGGCTGGGAAAGCCACTACGGCTGGGAAAGCCACTACGGCTGCGAAAGCCACTACGGCTGGGAAAGCCACTACGGCTGGGAAAGCCACTACGGCTGGGAAAGCCACTACGGCTGGGAATGCCACTACGGCTGGGAAAGCCACTACGGCTGGGAAAGCCACTACGGCTGGGAATGCCACTACGGCTGGGAAAGCCAGCGAAAGTACAACGCAGTCACTGCTGAAGCACAACATCACATGCTGCTCCTCCTTTATAGGAACATTCCTTGTCAAATCACAGTTGACTCAAAAGAACTTCTCCATAAGCGGACTACCACATCTCAATACTCGTTTGAACTTAGCAACACTTCATTTAACAAATCGTTAAACAGTTCAACAATGATACACTTCAGAACACTTCATTATTACAATTCACCACATTCATTTCAACCACGCTTCATGACACGCACCTTGGGAATGTCTTTGACGGAGGAGCTGAAGTACCAGAGCCCGTCAGGCTGCAGTGCGGGCGGCGAGACGGCGTGCAGGAGGAACGGGATGGGCTGCACACAGAGCGTGCCGAACTTGGCAATGTAGACATCCGAGCTCTTGAAGGGCACCATGCTGCCGAGGACGCGGGCAGCGGGGTGGAGGGAAAGCGAGGAGAATAATAGCTAGTGGAGATAAATGGAGAGGTAAGGGTAAGGGAAGGAACCATTTTCTCACTCAGTAGTGAACACTCACAGACAGGTATGTTACCAAGTGCAACAGCACATGCACATGAACAGCTAGCGGAGTCACAGCACTGAGGGCCCTGCACTCACCACCCGGTGAGCCCTGCACTCACCACCCGGTGAGCCCCTGCACTCACCACCCTACCACCTCCCCTCCCTGCACTCACCACCCTACAACCTTCCCCTCCCTGCATGGCACTCACCACCCGGTGAGCCCTTGCTTCACGATTAACCGGAAGTCCCGCCGCTTGCTGCCCGGCCTCGTGCGCCCTGTCCTGCATCCGGGGAGAGGGGGGCATGGAAAGGCGGCGGTGGGGTGGGGTAAATCGCAGGGGGGGGGGGGAGAGGAAGGAATGATATGGTGTGACTTACAGCAATGCGAGAGCCAGCTAGGGGGGTAAGAGCACGAGTTGCAGTGCAGAGGCGATTCCTTACATCACTGTCATCAAGCCACTAGCCCCTTGTTCCACACATCCCCTCTCTCCTTGTTCCACACATCCCCTCTCTCCTTATTCCACACATCCCCTCTCTCCTTGTTCCACACATCCCCTCTCTCCTTGTTCCACACATCCCCTCTCTCCTTGTTCCACACATCCCCTCACTCCTTGTTCCACACAGCCCCTCACTCCTTGTTCCACACAGCCCCTCATTCCTTGTTCCACACATCCCCTCTCTCCTTGTTCCAGACATCCCCTCACTCCTTGTTCCACACATCCCCTCACTCCTTGTTCCACACAGCCCCTCACTCCTTGTTCCACACATCCCCTCACTCCTTATTCCACACATCCCCTCACTCCTTGTTCCACACATCCCCTCACTCCTTGTTCCACACATCCCCTCACTCCTTGTTCCACACAGCCCCTCATTCCTTGTTCCACTCAGCCCCTCACTCCTTGTTCCACACATCCCCTCACTCCTTGTTCCACACAGCCCCTCACTCCTTGTTCCACACATCCACTCACTCCTTGTTCCACACATCCCCTCACTCCTTGTTCCACACATCCCCTCACTCCTTGTTCCACACAGCCCCTCTCTCCTTGTTCCACACATCCCCTCACTCCTTGTTCCACACATCCCCTCACTCCTTGTTCCACACAGCCCCTCTCTCCTTGTTCCACACATCCCCTCACTCCTTGTTCCACACATCCCCTCACTCCTTGTTCCACACATCCCCTCACTCCTTGTTCCACACATCCCCTCACTCCTTGTTCCACACATCCCCTCACTCCTTGTTCTATGCAGCCCCTTGCTTTATTGCGTGCCTGAAGCATTGGCGAGCAGAAAGAGAAGGGCGGGGCCTGTGGAACCATTGACGTGCCTTGCAGTCAAGCCAGCATCCCAATCTTTCCCCAACCTGCAGGGAAGTGCTTAGGAGATTCCAGAAACGTCACTTTGAAACACATTCAGTCAACTTTTCTTGATGCCTGACAGCCCTGCACCTTCCATGCCAACCACCGCTTCTTCGCACCCTTCCACGTATCCATTCCCCCCCTATCCCCCCTCCCCATCCCCATCCTCCATCACCCTACCCATTCCCCTCCCCATCTCTCACCATGCTCTAACAGCCAATGGCTTCCTTGTTGGTGCAACCCTACGGTTTGCACTCGGCTTGTTGTCCGTGTGCGTGAATGTGTGTGTGTATGGAATGGTATGAGGGCATGGGATAATATATATTTCATGCTTATAATTGTGTGTGAATGTTGAGTCATGATGTCGAGTGTGTGTGTTGAGTCAATAGCGAGTTATCGCTAGACGCGTGTTACGCGGTCGTTTGTGTCTCGCGCGCGGTTTCTATTTTGTCGTGCGCGGTTTCTATTTTGTCCTGTGTCGAACGTTTGGCGTGTCGCAGGTGTGTGCAGCAGACCCATCAAGAACTCAAGGATGAGTTTGTGATGAAGAGCCCGAGCCTTGGTGTCAAGCCTCAAGTGATTTCGAAGCTCGCCAAAAAGGGTACACCTCAAGATATTGAAGATAGTTACATTACTTTGTGTAGTGTAACATTTCACTTGGTGTAGGCCCTAGTGAAGGGTAGTTTCGAGACCCTTCGTGGTTGGGGACAGTGTGGCACTGTTCCACATCACTGTACCTCGGCTCTTGGGGTTTGCAGGAGCTGGGAGTCATTCCCAACTCGTAACTCTTCCTATCTTGTGTTCTAAGACTATAGTGGCTGCCATAGTACCGTTCGTTCAAACCGACGCTGTGTCGTCAATTCTTTATCAAATCGTGCAATCTAAATTTCTAATTGTAGACGACGTAAAGACGCTCCAGATCCAATTCGAATCAGGTCATTTGCAGCTGTGAGCAGAACGCTATCAACGTTTGAAGCCGCTGTGCAGAAATCCGTCTGTGCTCTCTATCTTTCGTTTTAGGCACATTCAAGGCTATTGTGACTATAACAAGTGGTATCAGAGCCCCTTGGAGCAGTTTCGACAATTTCTGGACCTGAGGAAAGGGGTGGCAGAGGTGCTGGTGGCAGTGGAGAAGCTCAAGCTCAAGGCCAACCCCGTGATTCACCCATGGCGCCCATGCAACCAAGTCTTGGCCCACCTAGGGATGAGCCTAGGGTGTTTGGGCTTGACAAGTTCAACGGTGACAACTTTGCTGAATGGTCCTTCAAGATGGAGAACATCTTTGACCACTATGACCTGCTGGAGGTGATGGAAGGAACGGAGAAGCGCCCCGACAACGACCCGGAGAAGAGCCCGTGGGTGCGGAAGAGCGCACAAGGCTATCTCTTACTTGGGCAAGCGTTGGGGAGCAGTCAGATCCGTCATATCAAGCCATTCCAGCGTGAACCAGAGAAAGGACCAAAGGCATGGGCTGCTCTCAAGGGTGTACATGCTCCTGCAACAGCGGCGGTAGCGGTGGTGTTGGAACGGCAAATGGCGGCACTACGAATTGAAGAAGACGAAGCGGTTGAAGAAGGGGTGCAGAAATTCTTCGACTTGTTGACGCGGCTTGAGGGAGCTGATTTGAACTACAGTGAGCTCCAAAAGAAGACCAAGTTGCTGGCCTTACTCCCAGAGTCATGGTCCTCGCTCATCATCAACCTTAATCGCGACTTGCCCCGCCTCTCGCTTGAAGACGTGAAGCGAGCTATCCTTCAAGAGGATTTCCGCCGCCGTGAGTTGGCGAGTGCGGATGGCGCTGGGGCAGCGAGCATCGGCCGTGGATATGGTCGAGGAAGAGGCAGAGGACGAGGGGGAGGAAGGTTTGGTGGCAGCAACTTCGGCGGAGGCCGCAGGAGTGGCGGTTACGGCAGCGACGACAAGAGCTACGGACGCGGTCGCGGCCGATTCGACGGCGAGTGTCACTATTGCCACAAGAGCGGACACATGTGGCGCGACTGCTACAAACTCCCTGATGGTTGGACCCCTGCTCAAGGCCAAGAGGGTAGAGGAGCAGGAGGAGGGAGAGGACGAGGCCGTGGAGGCCGTGGCGGTCGCGGTGGCGGAGCTGCAAACATGAAGAGCGGAGACAACGACAAGGACCCGAGCGACGATCGATACCCGGGTCTATTCTACTTCGTGTCGACGCAAGTACCGGCTGGTCCAGAGAAGGATGAAGGCTTTGAGGAGCCAGCAGCTGTGGGGAAGGTGACCCTACACCCCCTGGACTATTGGGTGATTGATAGTGGCGCTACCTATAGCATGACACCTCGCCCGGACTTGCTCACCGAACTCGAGCTGTCACCGGTGAAGCATGTCACATCGGCTTTGGGGCAGCGAGCAGAGGTGAAAGGCATGGGCAAGGCCATGTTCAAGGGTGCTGATGGGAAGATGGTGGGCCTCAAAAACGTGCTTTGGGTGCCCAGCCTTGCTGCAAACCTGATTTCCGTGCGGCGGTTGGCAAAGGCCGGCATGGACACGAACTCGAAGGGAGCCAAGACCTACACCGCAAGGCTTGGCGATCGAATTCTTTGGGACCTTCATGAGGACAGGGATGTCTACAACGAGATGTGGCAGATCCCAGTGGTCCCTATGCCTAAGGAGAGGCAAGTGGCAGCAAGCATCAGCACCAAGGATGGAGCGGTCAGTAGCGACGATGGCGCGAACGGTCGCGCTAAGGAGAATGAGCTCAAGAAGAGCAAACCTGGAGGGACCAGCAAGTTCAGTGAACCTAAGGAGAGTGGTGCAGCAACCAAGGAGCAGCAAAAGGGTGAGGAGAACCCAGAGGCAGCAGCGGAGGAGGACTACGGAGAGAGTATGTGGGGCGCTATTGCGAGCGCGGCATTCTCCAATCCAACTTTGGCTACGGGGGAGTGTGATTGGCTCACCTTGCATCGGCGCATGGGGCATGTGGCCCTGCCCATCTTGCAGCAGCTAGTGAAGAATGAGATGGTTGCTGGCATACGTGTGAAGGGGGAGCCCGATGAGGTGCTTGGCTGCCCGACGTGCATTCAAGCCAAGTTCACCCGGTTTCCGTTCCCTAGTTCGGAGGCAACGGCAAAGGCACCGCTTGATGAGGTGGTGATGGACGTGGTGGGCCCCCTGAAGCTTGGAGCTGCTGGAGCTGAGTATTTTCTCACCATTGTTGACGTCTACACCCGCATGACTTGGGTGTACGTGCTGGCCAAGAAGAGCGACGTGGCTGAAACGTTGAAGACGGATTGGTTCCCGATGGTGGAGCGGCAACAAGACCGTCTAGTCAAGTCAATCCGCACCGATCGAGGGGGAGAGTTCCTGAGCAAGGAGTTTGGGTTGTGGCTGAAGAAGAATGGTATTCGGCACTCCCTCACCATGCCATACTCCCCTGCAATGAACGGCATCGCCGAGCGAGCGAACCGCACAATCACGGAGGCTGCACGCGGGTTGCTCATTGAAGCCGGGCTACCCGACTATTTCTGGCCTGATGCAGTGCGGAGCGCGTGTGTGGCCAAGAACAGAGCCTTGACTCATGTGGGAGCAGACAAATGGGTGCCCTATGTGGAGTGGCTAGGAAGGAAGCCAAAGGTGGATATGCTTCGGGTGTTCGGGTGCATGTGCATGGCGCTCGTGCCTAAGCATCTTCGGCACAACAAGCTTGGTGCCAAGGCGGTGTGGGCCGTGCACTTGGGCATGGCTCAAAACAGCAAGGGATGGCTTCTTTGGGACCCATTCACCAAGAAGTTCTTGGTGAGCAGGGACTGCAAGTTCATGGAGAACTTCATGTACAAGGATTGGAAGGTGGAGAATGAGGCGAAGATAGGCGTGCGGTTTGGGGAGGTGAAGAGTTCCGGTTTGGAGCATGTGGAGCTGCCTTTGGAACTGAGCAGCGGCAGCACAACCACAAGGCAATCCTC